AAATCATATTCAGTAATGTAGCAAAATGACAATTTCAATGTAGTCTCAGGCTGGTAGGACAAGAACATTAAGGCAAATTAAAGTGTAATCTTTCATTTACATTAAAAGGTTGAAAATCTGCAGGCATTAGTAACAGGAACTTCAAAATGAATCTGCCTTTCCCAAAGTCATCTCACCAGACAGAAAAGAGGAACTTGGCATGTGACCAATAAATTATGAGAGTCACACCTCAGGGTTAAAGGGCACTGATGACTCCAACAAATCTCACCAGTGGAGGCAACAGATTAAGCTGGGGGATAGGATGCCCTACAACCTTAACCTGTTAATACCTTTAAATTCTTAAGGGCGACCTTTAGTCTGCTCTCTTATATTAGTTGTTAGTTACACTAATTACAGCTTAACTGGTATTGTTGGTACCAGTTCACCTCAAAAAAAGACAGACAGAGAAAGGTTATCTCTAATAGCTTCAAATAACTTCAGACAAATTCTGTTGTGCACATCAGGAGCACTTACCTCCAATTTTGAATGGGTCTTGTATGGACATCAAAGGAAAGACGCTAAAAGCAATGTGTGTTTGTGGATTTTATAAAGCATTTCATAAAGGAAGTGTAAAAGTAAGAACTAACTCCTGTGACTATAACTTTAGAACGGTTTTTTAAAAAAGGTAATACATTTTATCTTTTATGTTTATTTTCAATCTATAGGGGCCAGTGATTTTAAACACAAGGAGCTAGTTATATTTCAAGCAATATTAAAATATTTAGCCCATGAAATCTCTTCAAAATTTATGGTTTTTAGAATGGGATACTGAAAATTCTATCACACTCTTTTAGAACTGTTTTAAATTCAACATTTACATTATGTTAACCCACGACTGGAGTTGGGCAAAGGATTCCAACGCCCATTTACAAAGATTCGAATACCATCTGTAAAGCTGCGGTAAATTACCCCGTAGCATTAATCTTTAAACAAGGCACTAAATCAGAACAGAAACATACCAAAGAGATTGAGAGCAAGAGTCATAACTGAATTATCAAGATTAATGTAAACTCTTTACATATAACAACTGCAGGTTTTCAGCATCGTGTTATTTTTGCTTTGAATGAAACAAAGTTTCTTCTAAATTTTAAAAATAAAGTACTAATATGTAAATAATATGGGGCGTTTTTGTGTGCATAAAAACCCGAAAACAATGGCTGAATGGAATTTATTACTCTAATGGTATTCCCAGTTAAGAAATAGAATTATGAAAATCTGATTTTTACAAAACTGATACATTAGGAACTAATTACTGTATTAACATTATAAAAAGAAACTGTGCTTTACAAAAGGGAATCCTTAAGTCAACTCTAGTATTTTTAAAGATACTGACCAACAGAAATTTGACTTGTGAAACCCTGGGAAAACGAAGACGTATAATGCTTAATTAGGGCACTGTGTGTCATCAGATCCAAGACTTGCTGATTTTAAGATTCATCATTACTTATTTGCCATTTAGAAAAAAAACCACTGCAAATTAAAGGTATAACATAATGTTTTCATGTCACACTGGCTGAAAGATGTATCCAGACTTTGGCTAATTAAGATTGTCCTGTACTCGATGATACTCAATATTTTATAATCAATTGGCATGTCCATCAATATATCTAAATGGATAATTATCCATTGTTTTGGGGTGAGCAATCTGATTTTGAAACATAATCACTGGGTGCTATTAAGTGATCTTATTGTACATAAAGTATTAATCTATGTTTTCTATCTTTTCTGAGGATAGAAGATGAGGAACAGTAGCTGATAGAGTAATTTTGATTAACTTAAAAAATTTATTAATTTTTTAATATCTCTATTTTTTCTAAAAGAGATTTAAGGCAGAGTCCAAAAAAATCATATCTGATGAAATAATATGGAAAATGAAAACTAGAAGATAAGAATTATAGAAAAAGAAATAAAATATGAAGATAGTAAGAACCTACATAATAACAAATAGGCTAAGGATTTCTATTTTTATTAAAATTTACAAATAAAACAAATATATTTATTGGTGAAATTTTAAGGATTATTTTGCTAGAAGCAAAAGAACAAATGACAAATAAAAGTACCTTGCTAATCCTGAAGACTCTCTATAAAACTGATTATTATACATTGGAGCCTCGAGTTATGACTGGCCTGACATATGAACAAGTTGGGTTACCAGCAGAATTTTAGTTGTAACTTACATATAAAATCTTGAGTTACGACCTGAATGCTGGCCACCTGTGCTTCCAGATGGCCTCAGATAAAGATTTAACACTTAAAGAGTTCTGGAAGAACATTACAACATCCCTTCCTGTGTGGGGTTAACTGAGAAATCCTGGGCCAGAGTCTTTCTAAGGACACTGAGATCTGCCTGGAAGAAAATGTGGCCTAAAATTATACAGGAGAGAGACTCTGGAGGCAGTTGACCAACTTGAGTTACAACCACCCCTAGTGAACGAATTGAGTTTGTAAGTCAAGGGTCTACTGTATTCTACCATTATTTCTTTTTTGTTTTCTACCATTATTTCTTAAAAGATAGTTACCAAATGAAAGTATGATCTAGAGAGACAGTAAATACCAGGACACTCAAATATATCAGTGGCTCTCCCTTGAATTTCTATATGCTTACAGGTCAAAACTGGTCTATGGTACAGATTCCATTAAGTCATCTCGGGATACTGGTGGGTCGATCAGTGGGCTCCCCCTCAGGGTTGCAGATACTTCCAGAAATGAATACTTCTGCAGGCTGGCCCTCAACAGAGAAGGCCTCAGGATTCACATGATAAAAAACAAGCACAGCAAAAATGACCAAGGCCACTGAGCTAATATTTAGATCTACTTCAGAATCATAGACTTCTATACCAGATGGCTGATAAATCAGTTTCAGTAGTTGTAAATGTATATTCTACCTCAAGTTGAGTTACAAATAACTTCAAAAAGAAATCTAAGAGTTCTCAGGGGTTTAGCTTTTGTTTTCTAAATATTCTTACTAAATTCCAACGCAGTTAACTTTTAGAAACCTTAAGCTATTAGGCTATGCACCATTGGGCTGTTATGTCTGTCGCAGGGATCTGCAAAGGCAAATGTCCAGTGGAATGCATTAAACATGAGCCCACCACCTTGAGCAGACGTCTCAAAGTTATTCACCTAACACATTATACATATTTCATTATACATTTTGGGGATTTTCAGAAGCAACAGATATTCATGAGAAATAGTTTTATCATGAATAATAAAGACAATGTAATATATATACACAATGGTGTATTATTCAGCGATAAAGAAGAACAGAACCTTATCATTTGCAGCAAAATGGATGGAAATGGAGAACATCATGTCAAGTGAAATAAACCAGACACAGAAAGACAAGTACTGTACACATGTGGCTCATATGTGGAAGCTAAGAAAAGTTGACATGAAAGTAGAATAGTTGTTATTACTGCTTGAAAAGGAGTAGCAGAGAGGGAGGCTGTAAAAAATGAGGTTGGTTTTGATCAATGCATGCTATATGCATGCTAGGGAAATATCAAATTAAGCCCAATTAATATGTACTAGTAATATGTTAATAAAAATAGATGTACACTAAAACTGTCACTTGTATTTAAAGACAAGGCATGATATCAAGACACACGTGTTTGTTGATGGCCTCTGACACCAATGAGTCTGTGAATTTTGGAAAAAATTAATCTTCGAACTTAATGCATGGACACTGAGAGTAGTGTTAGAAAGTTTCATAAGGATTAATTATGACTTAAGGCATTTTAATATTCATAAATGGACACAGCATTGGGCTTATTAATAACTAAAGATGTGTATGTAAGTTTCTCATTTCACAAAGAACATGAAGTACTTCTTTTTCTTTATGCCTTGTCCAGTCTTTTCAATTGACTGCTATAAAGGTGTGTGCCAGTGTGTGTGTGTGTGTGTGTGTGTGTGTGTGAGTGCGCGCGCGCGCACACACCTGGCTGTCTCAGTACAACTCTGTACAGGAGTATATCAACCACTTTCATTTCATATGAGAATAAAACACCACCCTTAATTAACTATTTGCTTTAAGCTGACTTTTTGGCCTGTAAATTTACTGATACCTGTTCTCTCTCCAGTGTCACCCTAGGGATTCTCTCCTAGAATGAGCCACAGCAGAAGCCATATGACTGTGTTCCATGAGAGTCCACTGGGTTTCTGATCACATGTATGTTTTTACAAACAAAGGCAATTAGACCTCTACTCAAGTCACCGTTTTGGTGCTTTCTGTTTTTGCTCAATTACCAAACCCTATCCAGTGGTTTCTTTATATTATTATACACTTAACCGATTAACAGCACTTTGCTAAAACCTGGTAGAAAGAATTGACTCTCGAGAAAAACAGGAGCAGTGGATCTCTGGATTTGCTGATCCACAGTGCCACAGTAAACCCTCAGAACGTCTTATGTCAGTATTAAATTATTTTAGTTCCTGGAAGCAAGGTCTTCAGAAGCTTGGAACTTAGAATTATGACTTAGGCTATCTGATATAAGTCAATATAAGAACAAGGCGCATGAAGATGATTTTGTATTTTAAGTGACAAGGACATAAAAATATTACAAACAAAGAAATTACCTGTTGTTTTATTTAATGTCTTAAGATTGATATATTAATCTTGCAATACAATGTTAGGAAAATATTTCTCCTAATGCATCTCGGAAGGTTCACATAATTGTGTACTAAAAGCCACATAACTTTTTGGCTTGGGTGTCAGCACTTGAACCACCACATTAGCTTTCAGTTGCAGCAACTAATCACAGCCCAGATCTGCAGTCAAGCTTCCTTTATTGTCCCTCCAATTCCTGACCTTCAGTTTTTTTTCTCTTTCTCCTCACTCTCTCCGTTTAACACTTCCCAGTTCTCTTTCAAGTCTTAGCTTAACTGACTCCCTGTTCTCAAGTATGTCTCTGTCTCTTTCTGTGTCTGTCTCTCTTTCTCTCTCTCCCCTCAATTATTTGCCCCCTTCTCTGTGTCATTCATTTGTCCATTCCTCAACCCTGGTCACTTGGTGAAGGGATCCTTGATTTTCTCCCTCCTTTCCTCTACCTAGCTTATGTGCACCTCGTCTAATTCTGAATCTTCTGTACCTAGCCCTTAACAGGCACATCTTAAGTATTCTGTCAAGGGTATAATATTGCTGCATATGAAAATGTGAGGAGGCAGGCCCTGGAGGAAGTGGTTTGGGGCCAGGGCAAGGATGTCTGGGAAATGGCCAAAACTGCTATGCTGGGTGTTATCATTTTCCTTGTCATGTTCTGGATACTACCAATGGTCTATGTAGCTTATATGTTACATAATATTTTAAAGCTATAAATATCGAGATATATATGCACATATTTTTAGATGAATAATGTGAGAAATCAAGTCACTACTTATATGTAGTTTTCCAAATTTAATAGTACTTGTAGGAAAATTAGAAATATAAAAATATGTACCGTTAGATAGTATAATTAAATATAAACACGTATTTGTGATGAGCACAGGTAATTTTATGGAAAGCCAGAGTACATATGGAGGAAAACATGCTACAGATTTATAAGATGTTCCACTGAGTGACTATCCTCATTAGAACAATGGCTGAAACTCTAGACTTGCCTCTTAGTAGAAAATGGTATTTCATTTATATATGGTTTTTTTTCAACTGCAACATCACTGGATCAACTGTAAGCAAATATTGAAATCTCACCAACTCAAGCACCTTCTGTTTAACATTCACATGGTATGTATGTGTGCACAGAGGATCTTCAGCAAATAAATTGTTTACTGACTAATGCAAGCACTCAGTTTAAAAATAAAAATGATACAATTTTTTATGGAGTGCGTCATTTCTGGAACCTCAAAAAAAAGGATAAAGATTCTTTCACTTATCATTGAAAAGTGTTACATTTTTGTTAGTATATTATTTAAAATTTCTTAGCCTGGGAGACAAAAATTTATGGCTGTAGATTAACTACTTTAATGATGTGACATCCAAGTAGCAAAACATTCATTTTTACTGATGGTGTTACTATGACTGCCTCTTCAGGAGAGTAAGGAACAATACAATAAATTCCTGTATAGGAAGTTTTTTCCTATCTCTACTCTTTAGTTTAAATCTCAAAGGTAACATATATTTAGTCAGTAGATTAGTGCTATAAAAATGTATGAAATGTGATCATTTACAACATCTGTATGTGTTTAATGGCGGGTTATTATGTAAGGAATGATTTAAAGTTATATTTAAAAAACTTACTTGTCTATTTAGATTTAGCAATATTCTTAAAACTGTTTATGAAAACAATCATTGTCTAAACATTTGCTCTCTGCCGTTTTAGCTCTGCTTTTTGTAAATACAACACAGTCACAACAAATTAAAGGTGAGTCACTTGAATGTCCTGTTACATTAGCTTGATGAAATTAGTGGCTGACAGTGCTTAGCAAGTGACAGGGCTCTCTACACAGGTTCACATAACATTTTTTGGGGGGGGGGAAATTAAGAATCGTATCTGTAACAAAACATCCAAAATTTTCTTCCTAAAATAATGCCTCTGGATCTCACCAAGTTCAAATGTCCTGCTCCCAAAACAGAAATAAGTAGCCAGTGTGATTCTTAATCCCACAATGTTATTGATTGGGAGAGAAGAAATCTTATTTTCCTAAAATTCTCCTAAGATGATAATCCTGGACTGGTGACAGAGACAAGATATGGATCAAGGACTATTTGACCTAAGTGACCATCTTTTTTTTTTTAAACTACACTACCTCTTATTTACCTCCTTTGTGGGGAGTGGGGGACACTGACAAAAATCTCCCTGACTTCCTACACCTATTCCTCATCATTCCCTTGTATTTTCTCTATATCATAAGCGGTAGGTGATATGGGCTGAATTGTATCCCCTCAAAACTTATGTTGAAAGTCCTATGCTCCAACACCTTAGAATGTGACCTTATTTGGAAATAAAAACTTTAGAGAGGGAATGGAGTTTGAAGGAAATCATTAACTTGGGCCAGTCATTAGAAATACTGATATGACTCATACCCTTATACAAAGGAGAAATATGGACACAAACACTCAAGGAAGAAAGATGATGGGGGGGAGAGGGAGGGAGGCAGTGACAGAGAGAGAGAGGGCCATCTACAAGCAAAAGAGAGAGGGCTAGAACAGATCCTTCCTTCACAGTACTCATAAGGAACCACCCCTGCCCACACTTGACCTTAGACATCCTATATTCAAAACCAGGTCACAGAATTCTGTTGTTTAAGTTACCTAATCTGCAGCAGATGGATACAGTAAGCTGTAGAAAAGCTAGACGATGGATATCTATACTAGTCAGCTTTCTGTTACTGTTAACTAAAACCAAGATAATTAACTTACAAAAAGGAAAGGTTTATTTTGGCCCACAGGTTTGGAGATTTCAGTCCACATTAGTTGGCTCATTGGTTTTGGATCTGCAGTGAAGCAGCAAATCATGGTGGGGGGCAAAGCTGCTCACCTCATTGCCAGGATGTGAAAAGCAGAAGGGGAAATGGTGCAGGTCCCACTGTTCTTTCAAGAGTCCACCCCTGATGACCTGAAGGCCTCCCACTAGGCCCTCCTAAAGTCTCCACCACCTCCTACTAGTGCCAAGCTGGAGACCAAGCCTCTAACACATGGGCCTTCCACAGTCAATCTATAGCGACATGCAATGAGGAAACAATATCAGGTCTACATTTGGGAGAGACGACTGAAAAGCAGGCAACAAGAAAGGCAAGGTTATATGGAATCACAGTATGAGAAGCAGTGTCACCTTACCCTAAGAACTATATATCCTCTTAACCTGCACATTCAACCTGTGGTACACGGTTTTATTTTTACTCATGGAGACACAGGCAATTATTATAGGCTGTAAACAAACTCAGAGGTCATTCTTTTTAATTATAAAATGCTATGTGGTTTTTAAAAAGTTTTAAATATAAATCCTTCAAATCAAAACCTTGTCATGTGTTTCTTTACCTAGCTGTCACCCTACAGGTAAGAAAATGGACTTTATCATTGCATTCCAATTATTATAATCCTTCAAGTCATCTCCCAATATCAGTGGTAAGTTTGCTGGTAACTGAGATTAGTATCTCTAACTTTTCTGCTCTTCGATTTACTCAATTTTGGCTAAAAATTGTTAAGTACCTTCTTAACAGTTCCTAGGTATGCAAAAGAGTAATTTCTGAGCTACAAATAAAGCATAGACAAGGTATGGTGGTAGTACAATGAAGAAAAGCAGAATGGTTCACATGTAAAAGAGAAGTCCAAAGGATTTCTTTCTATATTCCTGAATTTTATCCTTACATAACTTCTTATCCTCTGGTTTGCTAGAAATATTGGAGAGATGAGAAGCCAAGGCTGAAAGAAGTAACTCACTCAAAATAACAGAGATAGTAAGTTATTCAAGTGGGATTTGAACCCAGAAATAAATGCCTCTCACCTTCACTACAAGGCCATAATTCTTCTGCAGGTCCCCCTGGTTTACAATATTAGTTATTAATTGATATTATTAGAAGGAATACTTACATATTACAGCTCAAGGGATATAAACAGAAATCTGAAGAAAACTGCCCAATACCTTACCCTGTCCCTACCATAGCATACTTACTATAAGTTACAATCACATGTTTACTGAAGATCTGGATGCTTCACCAGACTTTAAGCTGTTTTTGGTTTCCAGTGCATCTTAGCACCGAGGACACTACCTGCTACACAGAGTACTCAATTACTTGTTCGATGATTACATTAACAAATATTTGAAGTTATTTTAGATTTTCATGATTTTCATTAGGCTGATGTTATGGGCTAAGTAAGTTACACACAAAAATTCCTATGTTGAAGTCTTTTAGTAGCTCAGAGTGTGACTGACTGTATTTGGAGACAGGATGTTTACAGAGGTAATTAAGGTCATTAGGGTGGGCTGTAAGTCAGTATGACTGATGTCCCTATGAACAGAAGTGTGGACACAGACACATTCAGGAGGAAGGCAGTGTGAAGAGCTGGGGTAAGACGGGCGTCTGCAGGTAGGATGGCACAGATCCTTCCCTTGCCGCTCTCAAAAGGCACTCACTGCCCACATCACGATCACATACTTCTGGCCCCTAGAACTGTGTGAAAATACATTTCTGTTGGTCAAACAAATTATCCTCTGGGACTTTGTGTGGCAGTCCTAGAAAATGAATACAGCGGTATAGCAAGATAAATTCTCAATCAAGAAAGTTCATGTTAAGATTTTAAACTACTTAACAACATTCAAAGTTTTAAAGCTGTCCCAGAAACATTATCATCTGTCCTATAGTAAGTCATCTTAACGTGTCTTCCATACTGCCTTGGCCGCTTTATCCAGTCCCGGAAGAGGTTCTATACCAGGGAGTCTGGAAGGGAAAAGAGGACTAGTTGTTAAATATTACATTTAGTTATTCATTTGAAGAAATGACACATAGACTGTGTAGTTTAGAAAGGAATACTGAATTTGAAATGTAGTAATTTCCCAAGAAGACCCCAATTTTTCCTTTTTCATCTCAAGTCTTTGGCAGTCAGTAGAAGAGTCAATAGAAATAACTGAAACTGGTTTGAGTTCTGTCATTCTATGGGAAAGTACAGGAAGAAATACCTAACAGGTCCAAGTTCAAGGGCAAAGTAGTCAAGTCTGATCTCAGCAGAATTCAGAGCAGGGTAAAAAGTGGCTGTCCAACTAACCTATGATGAAAAACTGCGCAGTTTCTCCCAAGGCTTCCTGCAGTGGTTCTCTTCATGGATTAGCCGTGGAAATGTGTAGGCCTTACTTTAAGGATTTTACTAGGCACTAGGGCGGATTCACTACTCCATGACAGTTCATCTCAACTGGCTGGGGATGTACGCACAGGAACTGACCCTCCTTTCTGACTCCAAGATCCATACATTTCATTTATATTCATCTGGTTTCCTCCAAAATGACAAGCAAGGAAGAGTCTGCTGTGTTAATGTCAGGATTTTGCTATTTTTCAAGTGCTTTTTCAAATTGGAAAATAAACACTCAGAAACATGAAAATGATTTGGGTCTATATTATATTCTAAATATGGGTTAACTACATAGAGGTACATAAACAGCCTAAGTCCAATTGTAAATTACCATGTTGTGCGGGAAAACAGACATATGGCAGGTGTCTTCACTTACTGTGCTACTCTCAGCTCTTTAACATTAATGGGCATCTGATCCTTAACAAAATAATTCAAATCCTAACTTTTAGCATTATCTTTCTTTCCCAGTATTTGTCCATTTAGAGAACTGTCATTCTCTTATAATGTGGTTACATTTAGAATTTTAAATATTGATTTGAAATGAGAAATTAGTATTTTAGAGACAATTAAATGATTTAAAAAAATATTTCTTGGACTAAATTATATAACTTTCATATACAGCAGGAATTCTAAGAGCATGTGTGTCCAATTATATATCTATGTATTTATCTATATATATTTTCTTTTGGCCATGTAGTAAATTGTTTCTTTAAAAATGGTATCAAAATGGTAAAATTTAATAAGATCTTTTGCCTTATTCAACGATTTACTCTGAACTTTCTGTCTATCAAGAATTATGGTCCTATAATAGATTTGGAATTTTTTTTTTTTTTTTTTTTTTT